TTCTTCAGCTTTAACCGCTACAAGAGATCCATGTAGTGATTGTTGGGGAATAACTTTCTACAGAGTAGTGTGTGTTCATGTAGCCGCTTTATAATGTCTCTGTAGCGGGCACCCTGAAGCCTCTATTATCTCAGGCCTCCAGTAACCGCTACAAGAGATCCATGTAAGTGATTGTTGGGGAATAAGTTTCTACACAGTAGTGTGTGTTCATGTAGCCGCTCTATAATGTCTCTGTAGCGGGCACGGTGAAGCCTCTATTATCTCAGGCCTCCAGGAGGTGCTCACTCTTTTACTCAGTTGCTGCCACCAATACTTCAGTTTAGTATCAATTAGTTAAGGAGACAAGTGTTGCTTTGAAACTAAAAACGTGTTTATTTGATTAACAAAATAAAATAGGCAAATCACAGGTTGATAATCAATATCTCTCACTCACTGACACACAGAACCCTTGTCTCACTGACTTTTTCGCTCACAGGCCCACAGACTCACTAAATCTCTCTCACAAATCTCAATTCACTCAAAAAACCCTCTCTCTCATACTCCACACACCCCCATTTATATCTCAGCTCTTCCCCCTTTAGCACCACCTTCTGTCCCCTCATTGGCTGCTTTCCCACTGCTCAGCTGTGACGGACAGGTGAGGGCAGGGCTGAACGCTACAGTCTCATACCCCATTTCAAGTTACACATCATTTAAACAGCAATACAGGGTAGTTTACGGAAATAAAACTTTAGGATAGCATCATAATTGTGAGCAAAATGTTTCATGTAGTAGGCTATTAATAGCTCAATAAAGCCTCTGGATTCTGATGTCATACAAATGCCATCACCTCAAGCATGTGTCTGTTGAGATGGTCCCGTGTCAGAAATGTATTGTACTCTTTGCTTGGCTGGCTCCATAAGATGCTGTCAACATACCGGAATCCAAATTGCTTGCTGTAAATTTATGTCTTAGTTAACATTTCTGCACCTACTACTAAGGTTTTTAGGTGATGAATTAGCATTGTATAAACCAGTCAAGAATCATTTCCAATAGAGTAACACCTTTACCTTGCTAATGTAGATTTACTCATATAAAAAGAAAGAAAGAAAAAGAAAGGAAGGAAGGTATAATGGGCAGACCTAACATCACATGTCCGTCACAGCTGGGCAGTGAGTCATCAGCCTATGGGGTGACGGAGGGGGGAACTTAAGGGGAGAAGCTAGTATAAAAACGGGGGTTAAGAGTGTGTGAGGGAAGATTGGAGATGAGAGTCTGAGCTGAGAGTTTAGAGTGATTGTTAGTTTTAGTGAGTAAGAGAGCCTGTCAGTGGAGAAATAGCCTGTGAGATCCAGGGTTGTTATTAACAGTGATTGACTAAATGATTTTTACCTGTGATTTACCATTCATATTTTTTTGTAATCAATAAACCAGTTTTTGTTTTCAAAGTTACACTTGTCCTTTTATGATTTTTTTAAGGATAAGTTGGTGGCAGCAGAGTTTTAAAGTGAAGTAGCAACTCTGTGAAGTGTGAGGGTGGCTGTTACAGAAGGAAATTAAAATAGTGCAACTTGGGGAAGTCATACATTCATTTCCTGGGGCTGCAAAGAGTATTTATAAAATCATGAGCTTAAAGGAGTGGGAGTCCAATTTAATTATATGTATAAAGAGATTCACAGATTGCTGCCTTGTCGTGGCAAAGGGGCTTGAGTAATTCAGAGACGCTATGGGCTATGCTGTGCAGGGACACCCAAGACGGACAGGTTACAGTGGAGAGTTCCGACTAAACGCAATCCACCTGGAGTAGGAATTGGCAAGCCACTCTAGTATCTTTGCCAAGAAAACTCCATGGACAGAAACAAAAGGCTAAAAGATATAACACTGGAAGATGAGCCCCTCAGGTCAGAAGGCATCCAACATGCTACTGAGGGAAGAGCGGAGGACAAGTACAAGTAGCTCCAAAGTAATGAAGTGGTTGGGCCAAAGCCGAAAGGACGCTCAGCTGCGGATGCGCCTGGAAGTGAAAGAAAAGTCCGATGCTGCAAAGCAAATTACTGCATAGAAGCCTGGAATGTAAGGTCTATGAACCTTGGTAAGCTGGATGTGTTCAAACAGGATATGGCAAGAATAAATATTGACATCCTGGGTGTCAGTGAACTAAAATGGACGGAAATGGGCGAATTCAATTCAGACAATTATCATATCTACTATTGTGGGCAAGAATCCTGTAGAAGAGGTGGAGTAGCCCTTACAGTCAACAAAAGAGTGGGAAAGGCTGTACTGGGATACAATCTCAAAATTGATAGAATGATTTCAATATGAATCCAAGGCAAACCTTTAAACATCACAGTCATCCAAGTTTATGCACCAACCACCGATGCGGAACAGGCTGAAATTGACCAGTTCTGTGAAGACTTCCAACACCTTCTAGAAGTGACACCAAAGAAGGATGTTCTTCTCATTATAGGGGACTGGAATGCTAAAGTAGGGAGTCAAGCGATAAAAGGAACAACAGGTAAGTTTGGCCTTGGAGTTCAAAACAAAGCAGGGCAAAGGCTAATAGAGTTTAATGGTTGTTGTGGGTTTTTCGGGCTCTGAGTCCTCTGAAGATGCTGGCCACAGAGACTGGCGAAACGTTAGGAAAACAACCTTCAGAACACAGCCAAAGAGCCCGAAAAACCCACAACAACCATTAGATCACGGCCGTGAAAGCCTTTGCGAATATATTGCTAATAGAGTTTTATCAAGAGAACAAGCTGGTCATCAAAAACACTCTTTTCCAACAAGAGGCGACATGGACATCACCAGATGGGCAATACCGAAATCAGATTATGTTCTCTGCAGCCAAAGATGGAGACGTTCTATGCAGTCAGCAAAAAGAAGACCTGGAGCTAATTGTGGCTCTGATCATCAGCTTCTTACAACGAAAATCAAGCTTAAACTGAAGAAGGTAGGAAAAACCACGGGACTACTCAGGTATAATCTAAACCAAATCCCTTATGAATACACAGTGGAAGTGAAGAACAGATTTAAGGAACTAGATTTGGTGGACAGAGTGCCTGAAGAACTATGGATGGAGGCTCATAGCATTGTACAGGAGGCAGCAATAAAAACCATCCCAAAGAAAAGGAAATGCAAGAAAGCAAAGGCAAAAGGCAGGACTGGAGGAATCTCAAGCCGGAATGAAGATTGCCAGAAGAAATATCAACAACCTCAGGTATGCAGATGATATCACTCTGATGGCAGAAAGTGAGGAGGAATTAAAGAACCTCTTAATGAGGGTGAAAGAGGAGAGTGCAAATATGGTCTGAAGCTCAACATCAAAAAAACTAAGATCATGGCCTCTGGCCCCATCACCTCCTGGCAAACAGAAGGGGAAGATATGGAGGCAGTGATAGTGTTTACCTTCTTGGGCTTCATGATCACTGCAGATGGTGACAGCAGCCACGAAATTAAGATGCCTGCTTCTTGGGAGGAAAGCGATGACAAACCTCGATATCATCTTAAAAAGCAGAGACATCATCTTGCCAACAAAGGTCCACATAGTCAAAGCTATGGTTTTCCCAGTAGTAATGTATGGAAATGTGAGCTGGACCATAAAGAAGGCTGACCGCCAAAGAATTGATGCTTTTGAATTGTGGTGTTGGAGGAGACTCTTGAGAGTCCCTTGGACTGTAAAGAGAACAAACCTATCCATTTTGAAGGAAATTAACCCTGCTCACTGGAAGGACAGATCCTGAAGCTGAGGCTTCAATACTTTGGCCATCTCATGAGAAGAAAAGACTCCCTGGAAAAGCCCCTGATGTTGGGAAAGTGTGAAAGCAAGAGG